TGCAGGCGGATGGGTCGCCGCAAGCCCCAGGAGATGTTCAGCAGCCCCTCCACGATGAGCTCACCTTCCTCCTGCGCGAGAGATGGGCAGCTCAATATCCAAAGTACGAATAGCGATGAATATTACTAAGAGGCACTTTTTTGGACCTCACAAGTCTGAATCAAACCCAGTTTCCCTGTTTTTTTCTCCGCTGCCAGAGATAAGTTGGGTGCCTGCCCCGGGGGTTTCTTACCTCCCGATGCCGCAGCTGCAAATTTTGCCCTTCGTAGTAGATGTTGTACGTCTTCAAGTGTAAGAGCAGCTCACTTCTAGAAAAAAATGGGAAAGATCCTGAGAAAAGATGCGGAGAAGTGAGGGGAGGACGTTGCAGGCACCACTCAGTACCTGGCGTGGTACCCCCTGAGCCGGCCGGGGGGAAATTCTGGGGAACTGGGAGAAAGCAGGAACTGCTTCCCGGGGCCGGGCTGGGCAATGAACCTGCTGTGCTACTGGGAGACCCAAAACAGCTTCATTTGGGGCAAATTTGGCTCTTTTGCTGCCTCTAGACCTCCCTTGTTGAGGATATGTCCTGCAGGTTCAACCAGGGGTTGCCCTTTGCAGCCACGAGTAGGGGCGACAAGCTCCCCTGCAACCGTGCCCTCCAGAAGCCGTGCAAAAAGACCTGAGAAAATCCATCAGACCTTGGTGGAGTCGGTCACAAGACTGAAAAACAAGGACATTTTCGGAGCGCCCAAGCCCTTGGGTCATGTTGGAGTCACAAGTTATCACAGGCGAATTTATCACTTCAGCTCATCGCTCCGGCCCCTGACCTCGAGCTCAAATTAAAAGTCTGAGCCCTGCTCCAGTTGCAAATGAAAAATAAAAATAAAAATAAAAATAAATCAATCCAGGCTGTCTAAGCACAGCTATGAATCACAGGGAAGCGATGCCTCTGGCATTAATTCATAAAGCTGTCATTAAGTCGGCTGGCTGATCGAGTTTAAGGATGCTCGGCACCATCAGACTAATATAAAGAAGCACGAATCACGGGGATTTGGCGTTATGAGAAAGAAAAAAGGGCAGAACAACTATCACGCAGATGCTTTATCTCCTCCAAAATCTTCCTTGAAACTTAAGAATCCTTTTACTTCTTTACCGAAGCATAAAAGAGCAATTACTAATCGGGACCTTTTTCAGCAAAACCTGTATTTCATGAAGGTTTATAGAGCATTTGGCCACACTCCTAAGAAAAAAATTTCAAAATCCCATCAACAACCCTTTTTTTTAAAGGCAGGTGCCGTTTCTTGCCCCAGAACGGCTTTTTCTTTCCAAATCCAACCGAATCGAGTGAAAACCCAGGGTCGCTCCCCTCCTCCCAGCTTAGAAGGCGAAAACCCCCGGGAATATTGCAAGTAACTCCCCAGCTACCAGCACCGGCTGCATTTCTGCGTTACAGCCCTGCCGAGCATCTTACTTGGAGATGTATTTGTCTTTTCCGCAGGGGACCAGGTACTTGCAGCCGCCG